CCTTCAGCAGATGACTTTCTAGGCTAGAGATATTCTTACTGGGGGCTCATTGGAGACCTTAGGAATAATTAATTGGCCGGTCGTGTGCAGAATATTCCCTAAGAAAAGTCAGCTTCTTACAGAGCATCTATAGTAGTTTAAACTCATCACCTTAATAGAACAGAAGATACATAGAGTATTTGGATGATTAGATTGGAAGCAATTTTGAGTTTGGGTTAGAGTTTGCTAAAGAGTCAATTGGGTGAATTTTGTTGGCTTGTTTAGAATAGTATCATTGTTCTCAGGCACTCACATATCTGTATTTCCTAGCCTTTAAATTCTTCTGGTTTCTGAAACGTTGCGTGTTAAATATTACAAGATGGTTTCTGGTGCGGAAGGCCATGACTGGTACAACCTCTCCCTGTGGATTGGAAGACATAGGTGCACTGCTGCACAGAGTGGATAACCACCTACCTTACCCCATGACCTCACCTGTCCTCCACCCACCCAGATTAGCACTCTATACTGCATAACCTGTCATCAAGGACTCCTCAGAACACCGAGACAGAGCTGGGATTCTTCATTTGGGGCTTCCTGACCTTCAAGGAATCTGTGAATCCTCTGAAATAATGAACAAAAGTTTGTATGTATTTTTCTCCTCCCTACTCTGGAGTGACTTTATTTTATCAAAATTAGGTGAACCCAACAAAGGTGAAGAGTAACTTTGCCCTCCAAACTAAACGTACACAGAAAGGGCCCAAAGGCCTCTTATTAAAAGGAAAGAGAATATTAACTTCATTCAAGGGTTGGAAATTGGTATGTCTTTAGGACTGGCCAGAATTGTTAAGGTGGGGAGCATCCTGGGGTGAACTAATAGGAGTCACTGGCTGTTGGTAAATTGTGGCAATCATTTCCTGCATAAAGAAAAGGATAAATGCTGATCAAACCCAGGTGGTGGTAGCTTTTACTGTATCAAGGAGAAAAGTGAATTGCCACTGGCTAAATGCTTAAGAGATGCTCTGTTGTCATTTAGGCAATTTCCTCATACACACTAGGTGCTCAGGGGGTATGATTTTCCATTACATCATCATATGCTTATGTCTCAAAGGACAGGGTACAGGTGGCTCTGCCTTTTTTCCAAAGTTCAACAAAGAGGCTTTTGCGGAGCCTTCTTTGTAAGGATGTTTGCATTGTGCATCTGCTCTGCACACCTGGTTAGCTCCACTGCCCCAATTGCAGACAGCAATGCAAGTGACTCCCAGAGCTGTGAAAATCGACGTCCTTTCCTTCCTTTCTTTCCTTTCCCTTTCTTTTTTGATGGTCCTTTTTGTCTCATGCCTGTTGGTTCTGTGTTTCACGCATTAGATCTAGACCACTTACACTTGTCAGCACATCCATAGGCATCTCTGTCATGGTCTCATCTGGTTTTGTTTCTATCTTATCACCTCTCACTCCTGTCACGTCTCTCAGCAGTCTAGGCATTTGATAGAAAAGGACTAGCCAACCCAGAAAAGGATTCCTTTCTGTCAAGGTGTGAATAAATCCATGGTATCTCCTTGGTTTTGTGATTCACCAGGAACTTCTTTCAGCTTTATGAAAAAGCTATTTTCTTACCATCTTATAAATTACGTGTTCAAGGAGGCTGTGCTGGATTTTTTCCAACTTCTCCATGGTCAGGATCTTCAACTTTGGTTACATTTTACAGTCATGTGGGAAGCTCCTAAAATTCTTAAGGCTTAAGCCACACTCCTGAATAGTTAAATCAGAATATCTCAAGTGAGACCCATTGTCAAGCTCCCCAAGTGATTAATTTTACCCTGTCCTCAGACTTGTAGCCATTAACCTAACCTGGAAGGCCAAATTCCAAGTCACAGAGGTTTATTATGTATTTAGAAAACACCAAGCTTTTCCAATCAGCAAGTAGATGTGTTTCTCAAAAACATACTCTGTGGGCCAGGGATTTAGCTCAGGGGCTCAAGCACTTGCCTGGTAAGCTCTAGGTTGTGAACTCAATCGCTAGTACAAAAACAAACAACAAAATAAAAACAAAAACATCTGTACAAAAGAAGGTCAAAAAACCAAAACCCAAAACAAAACAAAAAACTCTTAAAGAAAAAAATCAAGTACAGAAAACATGGTCTTACTTTTCTTTGCTTATTTTGTTTTGTTTTGGCTCTGTTTTATAGGGAAACCTAAAAGGTTAAATAAGTTGTTTCACAAATGAATCCAAATATAGCTGTTGTAGAAAAAAATATATGTTCATTGTTGTGTTAGTCCCAAATTTGACACAATGTTCAGAGAACATTTCTGCTTGTATTTTTAGCTAGCCATCAAGCTCTTGGTTTGGGAGGCATTGAGAATTTCAAAATAGTTTGTTACCTAAAAATATACTTCCTGAAATGAACTTGAGGCCTGAAAGGGATGAATGGGTTTATTTTTTTCTTCATCTATATTTACTGTTACCACAAGAAAGCAAATCTTAAATACATGTATGTTTATATTTTTAGAGACCCAGGAAACAGGTGCTATGCTTAAACAACAGTGAAGGTTTTAGGGCAAAGTACTGATGACAGATATCTAAAAGTTACAGGGCAGACAGCAGCCATGGCAGGGCAATGAAACCATTTCTGTTCAGGCAGGATCATGCTTTACACAGGAAGAACATAGGAGGCAATACTGAGGCCTTTGCAGGGGGGTGCCTTAGAGAAGCACCTCCCAACTTGCAAAAGGCCAGTGACTGGTCCAGTACTACATACAATCTAGTTTGTTTGGTTGTCAAATGCCTAATAACCTTGACTTACTTCACTCAGCTTTCCAAAATAGGTCTTTAATTAGTACCATCACCAACAAAAATGGGTCCCACTGAGAAAAAGGTGGAGAATCAGGTTTTATACCTTTCTTATTTTTTACTATTGTAAAAGTAGTCTATTTTCAATATTGTATTGAATGACTGTGAATGAATATTATGTTTATAATCCTACTCCTTGTTCATATCAGTGTCCTCTCCTACTTGGTATAACAGAGCAAATAGGAGCTTCTTGTAGCCATCCCTAAATGTGTTCATTTGTTTACTCACATATTTAGTAAAAAATTTTAGATATCTTTTGTGGGACTAGTGCACTTTGGCATTGGAGATAAAGGGTGTAAACAAGATGGATCAAGTCTCATGGAGCTTGCATTTTGCTGGATAGATTATGGGCAATTATATGTGAACCATATAATTGGTGCAGAAGATAAAAGGAGTCCTATGGGTGGTAGTTACAGGTAGTTACAGGTAGTCCTATGGGTGGTAGTTGTAGGACAGAGAGTAATTTCTGATCAGAAACAAGAAAATTGACAAACAGCCAGACAAAGGTACTAGAAGGCTGAAAGACCGGAAGTAGAACAAACTCATCCTCTCAAAACTGTAGGCCTTCAAAGGTGTCAAGTAAGGAGGAAGGGTATCAGAGTGATGACTGATAATGGATGGAGACACAGAAGGAGGCGTCTGAACAGATCTTTGTGGCAGAACCAGCTTCTTTGCCTTTTAGGCTGAGTTGAGGAGGTTCTCAGTCAGGGTTTGTTAATCGTCTCAAGTCAGAAGTCAGAGAATAGCTGCCTTACACATCTCTGCCAGGAATAGGTGATAAGATCATGGCAAACTCTTGTGCCTCCAGCAAAAGCTGCTCCTTTGAGGCAGTCGCTTTGGTTTTCACAGCTCTGCTTGGTTGCAACCTCTGTGCCTATTTGAGTAAAGACTTTTCTTTGGTTCTCTTACTGTCTGTGCCTCCCTCCATTTCGAGTGGCCCTTCCTTGGATGATTTCCGTATCTCTTCACCCAGATAAACCATAATTTCCTAAAGGGTACTTATTTTGTGTGTCCCGTACCAAGCACTATGCAATGGGTCAGTCAGGTTTTTAATGAATTATAAGGTACTTTCATAGATAGAATGTTTTCGAATCTTGGACACAAAGAAGCTGTTGCCCCTGCACCATGACTTCTGTATAGTGGTTTTCATCGCAAATTGCTTACTTGAGGGAGTTCTAATCTGAAATTGTTGTAGTCAGGGTTTGCAAGGAAACAATTAATACAGGACACATAATTTGTAGAAGTCTTTTATAATAGTCACCCAAAAAGTCAAATACAAAAAAAGTGCAGGAGATCAGTCCACATGCTAAAGACCCAAAGAATCCAGCTGAGGCCCCGGATCGCACAGCAACATCCTGCATGAGGCCAGCTGAAGACCAGTGCCCAGGACAGTGCTCCCCACAAGGCCAGCGGGAGCCCCAGAGCCCACAACTATATGTCATCCAAGGTTGTTGCACAGATCTGCACTGGGAAGCCCCAAAACTCAGTGGTGGAAGCTAGAAAATCTGTGCCAGCAGAATGAAGGAGCTGTGCTAGCAGGCTGAGGGATCTGCACTGGAGCCAGAAATTGACTCTCAAAATAAGGACCAGAGCTCCTCTAAAAAGTACCACTGCTGTCCTCAGCAACAACCAGTTCCTGAGCTACTCAGATGATGAGAACAGCCAAGTGTGTATCAGGAAGCCAGCATGATACGCTTCTCATAGAGATTAAACAGCACACCATCTTCCCTTCCAGAGCCAGGAAACAATGCTCAAAGTAAGGACCAGAGCTCTCCTAAAGTGAAACCACAGCCATTCTCAGTGACAGCAAGGTCCTGAGCTCCTCCACTGAGGAGAAGCCAAGTTCATATCAGGAAAGAAGCTTGAAAAACTCCAAGAGAATCAATGGCATCAGAATCAACAACTCTTCTTCCTCTCCAAGTGTTCTTTTTATGCTGGCAACAATCGTAAGCGGGCCATCCACACCCATCACCATGCTGATTCAGTTCAGCTGAGTGTCACAAGTTGACTACCGGTTGTCACCCCACCCTAGGGGTTAAGGAGTTACTTTACCTTTCTCCATATGCATTCTCATGACATCAAGTTCATTTGAAATTGCATAACATCTTTTGGAATTCAGTGGCAGGCTGCCTCGCTGTTGTATAATTATTTACTCTACCTTTCTCTCCTGCAGTTAATAATGACATGATGGCCACCGAAACCAACAGTGCAATGAAGTTTTCAAAACTGTGCAAATTTTGTGACGTGCGATCTTCCACCTGTGACAACCAGAAATCCTGCCTGAGCAACTGCAGCATCACCTCCATCTGTGAGAAGTCACATGAAGTCTGTGTGGCCGTATGGTAAGGGAGCCTTTTAAGGACTGTTTCTTTTTCCATTTATAAGTTATATACGCTTGGTTCATGTGTTTCCAAACCTTAAGCCAGTGACCTTTTAGAGCATTTAGTAACAAACAGCCAGCTGCAACACACCTGCCTTGTAGGCATCTTATCTCATTTTCTTTTCACTTAGACCTTCTTTCAAATAACTAAGTTTAAATTATTAAATTTCAATCCCTCTTTGAATTATTAAATGTTGTTTCTAGAGCCATTCTGTGCTTTTTGTTTGTCTGTTTTTATAACACAACTTAATGTTTACAACAAATCTGGAACGCCTTCCTTGTATCAAGAGGTGTGATTCCCCTTCTTAGTCATTTAGCACCTCCCTAGTACTGCATAGCGACACTGGACACGGGGAGCTTTGTTGTTGCACGTCAGTCTCAGTTCTGCATGATAGAAAGGGAGGAGGTAAGTGATTGACTACTGGTAAAGAAAAACTGCCAAAATATAGAAGTTACTAGAGAAGCGAGAAGAACAACCCACTCAGAACTCACTTTAAAGCCTTGGTTGTGCTATCATAATCACTGGGCTACACATGGGCTTTCTTCTGGGTCAGAGCTCCTTATTTCCATTGGATCAGATTCCCTACTCTTCCTTCTACTTTCTTACATTCCCTCTGACTCACCTCCCTCCCGTACGTAAATGTCTCAGATAGTATTAGATACATATGCTGTGGGAGCTTAGGAAACATTTTGTTAATTCATGATTGTAAATCAACAGCATGAACAAGAGATAAACGACCTTGATCATGAAGTGTCCCAGTTTGGTCACTAATTAGATTTAAGATTTTGCAGATTTATTCAGATATTTTGAATATATCAACTGTATATATTTGTAGAGTGTCTTATGTGTCTCCTGGCTGCTCACAAACAAGAATGCAAACCCAAACACCTCTTCCCCTATTTGGGGAATGAACCTTTAAGACTGTCTCTAGATCACAGATTTGTCTTGTTGATACGTCTGGAAACCCTGTAGATTTCCATACGCACAGAGGGTGAACAGGTTTCTTAAGAACTTAAAAACTGTTAGGAATGCTAACAGTGAAGATCTGTGGCAACAGTTCGTGTATCCGTTAAGTCCATACATGTCCAGTTCTGAATAAAGCTTTTGAAATAGGGATTTTTGAGAGAGTATATTCTGAGGAGAGGAACACATGTGAATGGAGATTTTAAAAGCTTGATGTCTGAGGAATGGCTGATGCAGTCAGACATGATTAGTTCAAGCAAGAAAGGACGTGTGTTCTGATGAGAGAAACTGAAAGGCTATGGGGGAAAATGTAATAAACTAATTCTGCTGAGCTCGGAAGGGTAGTGGGAGTGAAGGGAGTTTGTGCTCAACATGGGCTTAAACAGTTTCACAGTCATCCTTTCCCAACACCAGACCAGACTTCCTTCCTTGGAAGTCAAATTAATTCCAGGGAAGTTGAAGAGGAAAGAGTGAGGCCTGGACGCAGTGCCTTCAGGGCTTCCTTCTGTCCTCTGCCCCACTGGCCATCTTTTCTTGGGTGCCCGCAGTGGTGAGAGCGCTTACTTTTTCTCTCCGCTGCAAATAAAGTCCAAACAATTGAACGGGACTGTAGGCTCAGTCTGATAAAGGCTTTGGTTGTTTCAAATGTGGTGAGTGTGTTAGAAGGAGAAAGCATCCCTCTCTCTTCGGTGTTCAGCTGTGAAGGGGAAATAGAATGAACATTATTTTCAAATAATTTCCAGATTTTTATTAGTATGTGTTTGCAATTCATAGGCTTTACAGTCCTCTTGAAAAGTGGTTACATGTACATATTACAGCTTGTTTTTTTTTTTAAATTTCCTTTCCCTTCTTTTTCCCTCCCTGTCCAGTTCCCATCCCCTTTTCCATACTTGTTGACATTACGTGTCTTAGCTCATCTTATGCCACGCAGTGTTTACATTAACTGGAGTTATTAAGTTCTATGAGGCATTTCTTTGTTCTTTTCATTTCTGCTTCTCCTCCTCCTCACCCCTCACCCTCATTTCCTTAGATCACATCCATCCTGGAAGAGATCATCCACTTGTTCCTTTCCACCCATCTGCTTGTGCCTTTCTACCTTTACTGCCTTTCTCCTTTACTGTTTTCCTTGTACTTTGCATCACTCAAAAGAGAGATGCTGTGTGGTATTTAAGTTTGTGTGTCTAATTTACTTCACTCAGCATACTTTCAGGTACATCTATTTTCCTACAACAATGTCAAATTTGACAATTTGACAATGTCAAAAATGTCAAAAATGACAATTCTTTATAGCTAAGTAGTATTCCACTATAATTCAGTCTATATCCAGTCTTCTGCTGATGGGTACACAGGCTGCTTCCAGTATTTAGCTATTATGAATTGTGCTGCTATACACAGTGGTAGTATATGTTTCTGTAGTATGATGATTTAAGCTCTTTGGAAAAGATACCTAGCAGTGGATTAGCTGGGTCCTACAGAATTTCTAATTTAAATGAATGCCAGTTTTATTCTGCCTTAGCTGAGGCAGATACTTCTGTGAGTGCTGAAATGAAAAAGGGAAATGTGAGTCCTGCTGCACCTGGCCCTGCTCCCTCTTTGGGGTAACGGTGCTTACTTCCTGAATGTGGTGACGGCTGAGCACCATACCTGGATATACCCTCTACAGACAGCAGCCGATTTACCCAGGTTTCATCCTCCTCATGGCAGCCAGCATCCCTCTGCTGGCTGAAGCAGGGGACAAACTGCTGGCCAGTTTACCTCAATGTGGGACAACTCTAAAGGGTTAGTCCAGCTTCAGAACTTCTGAGAGATCAACTGAGGCCTCTGTGGCAGCCTGGTTCGCAGTTCATCTTGTTCCTTTGTGCAGTACTGTTTTCTGGAGGCCCTTCTGGGTATATTTCCAAGGACCTTCTGCATAGAAACCCTTGTACCTCAACGTCTGTGCCCAAGAATTCCAAATGGCACAGCGCATTGTTTTTAAAATAGCCAAATATGGAAAACAGAGCAACTGCTATGAAGTGGGTTTCAGTGCTTTTATTGGTTTTAGTGTTGTATTCATTCACATTCATTTACTCAACTGTCAGCTGTGTATCCATCCCATGTACAATGCTTAAGCTTTTTCTCAAGATAGAAATATTTTTGGAGCCAAATTTAATTTCCTTACGCTAATTCTTGTAGTAGATATTGGCAAACCATTTAGTAGCTCAGTGCAAACTTTGCTACACAAACAAAGGAGTCTGTATATATTTCATTGTGTTTTCTTTTCCTGTGCTCAACACTGTGCAGAGATATTTTGCAAGCTTAGCTCTGCCTGGTGAGCAGGTCTGTTATGGAAGTAAGTGGAGAAATCAGTTAAGGCTGTTATACAGACTTAAGTATTATAATCATTTTCTCTCTGCAATTTTACTTCTCTAAGCAGCTAAAAGGCAGAAAGTAACCATCTCTGGAAAAGCTTCCCACTGGTTACAGAACAGCTTTATTTCATGGCTTACAATTTGTTTGTTGGCCTTTACTTCTCAAAGAGGAATTACCATGGTTTTCTCTGGAAACAAATTATACCAGCAAAAATATACACACAGATACATGCGCTGAAACTGTCCCATGTCTAAAGGCTTTGCAGAGACTGCCAAGCAGCTTTGAGATTTAGGATAGGTATGTTTTTAAATAGGCACAATGGAATACCGCTCTGCTATAAAAAAGGATAAATTTGAGTCATTTGTAGGAAAATGGATGCCCCTTGAGAGCATAATACCAAGTGAAATAAGTTAGACACACAAGCTTACATTTCTCTCCTATGAGAAACCTGAAGTATAAATTAAAGAGCAAAATAAAAGACAGATAATAGGAAATAGAAGCCAAGAGTGGTAAGGCATATGTAAAATCCCACCACTGAAGAGGATTGCCATGAGTTCAAGGCCAGCCTAAGCTACATAGTGAGACCCTGTCTCAAAAAAAAAAAAAAAGAAAGAAAGAAAAGAAAACAAAGAAAGGACACAAGAGATGAAGGGGAGGAACCAAGAGACAGAGGGTGAAAGGAGGGGAAGGAAGGGAAGGTAAAAAGAACTAAGATGTGTTCTATAGATGAACTAATTCCCCGTGATGAATGTCACAGTTTATTGTAAGCATGTACTAATAAAAGAGAAAATTAGACAAATTAAGTAGACATCATTTATCATGTTATTGTGGAGATGCTTACTTATATTCCTTTAGTTCTGGGACAGCCACCCTAGAGTAAAGTTTCTGATTGTTGCTCCTCCCTAACAAGAGGGATCTACTGTATTAATAAATAAAGTGATTGGACTATCACATCCCTAAAAGCCCAATCCTGACTTCATCACATTTCTTCTGGAAGGGTCCAAACTCTAGGGACACAGACTGCCATTGAAGGTGATGAGCGTTTTGTATCTGAATGAGGCTGAGATAGGAGGGAGAATGTCAGACCAGCATTGGTGCTAGACTGAATCATTTTAGATGGAATGTTCACAGGTGAGGCAGAGAGAAGTATTCAGGAATACCATCTTTTCCCATGGCTTTTGCAGTTATAATTATTGGCATTCATCGTATCATTTTTAAGTGTAATCTACATGTACAGTGAAATACGCACTTCCTAGGGCTCAAGAAAAGTGTCTTTATCTGAATTAGTCCCTAAATATGTGATACAGAGAGACACTAAATGTAGAAATAATTAGTTTGTGACAGCATCAAATACATGGCTGATCCATGAATGAATCTCACTACAATTCTTTTCCATGTGTTTTATTTCTTCCTTTCCTGTTCCTTCCAGTAATTTGATAAATTACATTTTTATCTGAGGTGTTCCTTCTCATTTTGCTTGCAAAACCATCTGCTGACATGGACTGTCCCCCTCACTTATATGTGGCCCAGCAAACAAAAAACAGGGCTGTACCACTGCCACAGACATCTTTGAAAACAGTTTAGTTGGAGAGGATCTTAACATATAAATTAAGCAAACAATGTAATGTAAGCCTTGCAGTACACCCTAGTTATGCGGTTTAAAATTAGCCCAAGTTGGGGCTGGGAATTTAGCTCAGCGGCATAAGCACCTGCCTTGCAAGCAGGCGGTCGTGAGTTCGATCCCTGGTACCGATTAAAAAAAAAATTATCCCAAGTCCACAGGAATCCCCTCTTTTCCCATTTTTCCTCTTTAAGAATTCAAATACACTTAAAATGTAAAATTCTCTCTCAGGACAACCCCCATAGAAAACCATCCTATTGATAATCTTCAATGGGTTCTCAGAATGAGCAAAGAAAAACAGAAATGGATATAGAAAGTACTGGAAATTATGGAATATCCTGCTAGTAGAGGAGAACACAAATGAGCTGCCATGAATAGGATCAGCTTCTTGACCAGATCCCTTCCCTATCTAGAGACCGTATTTTGCTCATTTTCTTTTTCTCTTTCCTCTCCTCAATGAACTCTGTACCTCAGGCGGAAGAATGATGAGAACATAACACTAGAGACGGTTTGCCATGACCCCAAGCTCCCCTACCATGGATTTGCTCTGGAAGACGCTGCATCTCCTAAGTGTATTATGAAGGAAAAAAAAGTGCTTGGCGAGACCTTCTTTATGTGCTCCTGTAGTGCTGATGAGTGCAACGACAACATCATCTTCTCCGAAGGTGAGTTTCCTTCTCTTGAGAACCTGGATTCAGTTCCATCTCCATCAGTCCCTTGCGATCCTGGTCTGTGACCCCGTGGAGGCGGGCCTTCCTCCTGTGGCGGAAGCTGCAGAGTGAGTCTGCACTGTGTTAATGCGGACCCTGTTCACCTGCTAGGAAGAGATGCTCAGGAAGACGCAGGACTGGCGCATGTCCTTATCAAATCTGCGTCACCAGGGGCCCTATTATTATTTATGCATGGCAGAGTTTCTTTTCCCCAGAGCAGTGATTCTCCAAGTGTTGTTCCTCAATCAAAAGCAGCATGGGGAGCATCTAGAGAAATGAAGTCCTTCAAGCCTACCCCAGACTGTTGAGTCAGATACCCTGGGAGTGGGGCACAACAAACTATTTTAGGGAAAATTTGAGACCCTTGGTGTAAGGATTTGAAGGAGACTGTTTGATCCTGGAAGGGAATTTTTTTTTTAATTAATAGAAATGGTTTGATATGTATACTCCTGAGATTTGAAAGTACTTGTTACTGGGTTCATTTGAGAACTTTGAAATGCAGTGTGATAATAATGACCCAGACTGAGTTTACCTGAGTGAACAGAGGAGACTGGATATTAATCTTCATTTTCAAAGTCCGGCACTTATTCAACTTGAGAAGAGGACACACACTTCAATTTTTTTAAAAAATCAGTTTAATGATTTTTAACTACAAATGTAGAAGATACTTTCATCAAAAATTCAGGCAATCCAACACTCTGAAAATTAACAATTAAAGTGCAACATATTTTTCTTCTCAGTCCCAACACAACAGAATACTCGATATTGAAAGTTTGGTAAATGCACACACCTCTGTCATTCAAAGATATTATTTCCTCTCCTTTTCTCCCCTTATCCATCCATTCATCTATCTTTCCATCCTACCATCAGTTTATCTGTCTATCCATTTCATTCATTTCAGTGCAAATATTTGATCTTACTATAAATGTTAATTTATATATTTTCAATCAATCACTTCCACATCTCCTTCTAGACATCACATTACATAAAGATATCTGATGTGTCTTTTAAATGCTGTCTAGAGTTCTATATGTGTTATACTTATCTAACCAATTCCCTGTTGACAAATATTTTAAATATCTCCAGTTTGCTGCCTTGTGTTGTATTTGAGGGGAAAAGAACTCTTGTGTATTTGTGCCAAAATTTCTCCAAGATATATTGCTGGGTTTTAAATATGGATAACCACTGCCAAATTTTTATTATTCCAAAAGAGACCATTTGCATATATGAGTTTGTACACACCCTCTCTGACAGTGGACATTTTGATTTTTCAAATAATGTTATTCTCTTGGTTTTAGTAAGGTAGATTCAAAGTGGGGAAAAGTTTGTTTAGACTGAAACAAGTCTGATTGAGTTAAGAACTCATTTGAAACACAAATGCCATGTCTGTGCACTACTTAGTTGGAGAATGACACGGTCCCATGTTTTGTGTGGCACTCAGCAGCACTGCTCATGCAACCTGTTCTTTCTGTGTGTCCTTCACCTACTGTGTTCTCCCTTCTTGCTGCCCTGCTCCATACCTACTCTGACATTTCAGCACTGAACAAAAGTACATGCACATCTCGTCAACACATTTCTGCTCAAAAATTCCTCTTCCCAATTTTCTTATGTTATAAACCCTCTACCTCTCTGATGTTCCTGATGTGATTTGATTTGAGTTGAAGGTATAAATAGATGAAAAGCAAACTGAAGTATGAGAGTCCTTGATATTCTGGCTTAACATGTCAACTTTCCTCATTTGATTTACCTTTTTAAAGAAGACCTAAGCTAAGCCCAATAAGAAATTCGAATAACTCCTGTCGTTTATACAGCTTTTCTCTGATTCCACATATTGGCATGTTCACAGTGGAAGAGTATACTTCATTCAAAAGGACAAAATAAATAGCCAGAAGGTGGATGTGTATTTTCAGATAGCAGTGATTTTGCTTCTCAGTGTATTTCAGCTCAGATGAGAATCATAGGTGTGCATTCATATTTTCCCTCTCGCTCATTACCAGACTGTTCTTTCTTTCCTTGTGAAGTACAGTAATCAGCATAAAAGCCACTTCTCACTGTGCAGCTCAGTATGGGTGATTTCTAAAATGCTCCAGGGTTGGATAGGGAACAGGGGTGGAATGTTTGCTTTTTCAATGTCTTTCTGTGCTGGTGTATTTTCTCCACTAAAAACAGCAGATATTAGAAGCTGTGTCTTGGGTTCCATTTTCCTCTGATAATAATCACCTGTTCTTTATATTTATTAAGAAATGAAAACTCTTGAAATGATTTGTATTTCTCCATTGCAAGATAAGTAAGATAATGAGCATAAAAGCTATAGCATATGTCACTCTCATGTGTCATACAGTACCATACTTCTTGCTTATTGCTAGATTTCTGATTTGCCACGACTCAAAATACAGTAACCACAATCAGCCTCTGAACCAGGGGGTTCCTCTGCATCACGGATTCAGACAACCATGGATTAAAACTATATTTCAAATGTACTTCTCTTCTGACATCTACCTTTTTTTCTTGTCACTATTCCCTAAACAATAGATATAACAATTATCTGTATAATGCCTGATTGTAGATATTACAGTAATGTAGGGATGAGTTAAAGTATATAGAAGGATGTGTGTTGGTTCTATGTAAATAAGAGCTCTAATAGAAAAACGTGGTGTGTGTTTAAACTTTAAGAAATTGGTATTACAATAAAAGACACATTGCCTTTAGTCCCTTCAACACTCCCTTCACTTTGGACACAAGTTCCTTATTCTTGTCACTTTCTTGGCAGTTCTGGAAGTCCTCTTTCATGAGCGTCCGTAGTTGTGCTGTTGTGGTTATCTTGATGTCCTGAATGGAGTCACGTTTACCTCTGATGCTCATGTTGACTTTGAGGGAGACCCAGAAGTCACATTGCACCAGATGTGATCAGTACAATAGATAAGGACACAGTACTGTCTCTACAAGTCTGCTTTCCCATTGGCTGGCATTTTGCAGCAAGATGCACCATGTTTTTTAATCACATTTTGTAAAGACACTCACAAAAGAGGGCTTCTAGATACGCTTCAGAAAGTGGCAAAAACAGTGGGGTTGAGACATATGTGGTCAAAGTGAGGGATGCTTTTGAGAGAGATTAATGGCAGTGTGCAAAGTCAATGTTTTTTTTTTTAAATTTTATTTAATGAGAAAAAGAAAAAAAAAACCATAAAAAGGGTACAAGTTATACAGAATTTCAGAAAGAATAAGCAGTAGGGAATCACTAGTTAATAGATTACATGTTGTTATCTTAGAAATAGTTGTTCAAGTTACAAAATTAAAGCATATAAAGTGGATTTTCAAACAGTGAGACTGCAAACAGTTTTGTTCAGTGATCCAACAAAACTTAGTAATATGGTTATCTATCTTATACACTTAAATATATATGCAGTTATATCCTTTAGAGCACTTTCTTTTCCTCTCTTTTGTATAATGACAACTACACATTTTGGATTTTATTACTCCCACAGTTCTTATTACTTTTTTTTGAAGAGAGTAAAACCAAATGTGACATAACAGAACAGAGTCAGTCCAATCAAAAGGATGGACATAATAGATAATGTAAAAACAAAATACCAGGTGATCAACAGTGGTTACCATACTGCCTCTTGCTATCTTAAAAAGAATTGCCTATATCATCAGTTATAATAAAATGAACAAAACAGTAAAGAATAAAACCAAAACATTGGAGACATTACAGGACTTTAAAAGAAGATAATAGTCAACCAGAATGGGCGTCATAATGAATCTTACTGTCTTCACAGTTGTTGCCTGTACTTTCGAACTTGGTACTATCAAGCAAAGCAGAATAGGGGAAAATCAGTCAAAACAAGATAGTGAGAGAAATACAGGGTTTCAAATCAAGTTAATAGGAAATCAAAGTGGGTTACTATAATGTATCCTGCTATTTTATATTTTTCCCTTAATTAAAAAAAATAAAAATAAAAAAGGAGATTGAGATAAAAAAGGGCATAACAACAAAACAGCGCAGGTCAAAGCATAACCATTTAAGCAAAATAGTGTTTCACCACAAGATATCCTGACATAAAAGTAGTTACCATAATGCCTCTTTCCTTGAAATCTTTTGAGTGTAACTTCGTATACTGTAGCACCAAACATAACAAGACAATGTAAAACCATTCAAGAGAATGACAGTATTATAGAGTATTTAGAACCAACTATCAGAAAATAAACAATGGTTTTTGTATAATCTCCTTCTCTGTAAAAGTTTTTGCTTATATTATCACAAATAATAAAGTCCAATAAGATACAACCTGTTAAGACCGATGGAGACAGAAGAATAAAAGCTTGATGGGACTTCAAAACAAGATGATATTAAATCAGCACTAGCTATTATGATGTCTTGTTTTCTCCAAAATAGCCGTTCCTACCATCCAATCTTCTCTGCCTCATTTCTGTTGAAATCTTTTTCTGTCATTTGTTGTCAGTTTGTCTTCTTCATTTCGCTTTCTACTCCATTCATTGTGGCCTCTCTGCCACTGTTTCTGGAATCTTGGTATTTTCCTTTTTTAGAATATCTTATAGTATTCTCTGTAGAGTTGAATTGGTGGTTGCAAATTCCCCTAGTTCCTCTTTATCTTGGAAGCATCTTGTTTTTCCATCAATTTCTAGGGGCAGATGTGTAGGATATATTAATCTTGGCTGGAGGTTATTATCTTTCAAAGCTTGAATTATTTCCCCCCATGCTCTTTGTGATTTGATGGTTTGTGCCGAGAAGTCCGCTGTAATTCTCATGGGTGTTGCCTTGTAAGTGATCTGTTTCTTGTCTCTGATGGCTTTTAATATTCTGTTCTTATATTGGATTTCTGGAATTTTGATTATTATATGCCTGGGTGTAGCTCTGTTTGGGTCGTAGGTTGCTGGGGTCCTGTATGCCTCATACATCTGAATATCTTTACCTTTTGCTAAATTAGGGAAAT